CCCCTGCTCCTCTTCAGGAGAGTCACCGTCTCCCTCCTGCCTACCCAGCCTGCCCTGCGCCTCCCTTGGGGGCTGCCCAGGGGGAGAGAGGGGGCAGCTCCACCCATGACCCAGAGCCAAAACATGAGGCAGGCATAGATTTGGGGCCATCCAGGGGAGGACTCTGTCCCCTGTGAAGCTCTACCCCGGGGTGGCGGGGATGCCCCATGCTTGAGGGTGTGCAAGTAGGGCCGGACGGCTCTTCTAGAGACATGTGCTGGCTAGTACCCCGTGACCCTGCAGTCTTCCTTTTACTTGCCACAGTAATGCAGACGAGTGGGTGGATGTTTACGTCGAATACAAGTTCCCGGCCCTTGTCCCCACCCACCTCCGAGGCCTGGCCAATCACCTAGTCCGGAATGTGCTGGACCCCACCCTCCAGAAATGCAGCATCGTGGCCAATGGTGAGTCAGGGCTGGGATCCTACTGTGTCTTTGAGCCAGCAGCCTCTTAACCTCTTTAGGCCTCAGTGTTCCCTTCTGGAGAATGGGCAGAATTCCATTTCGACAATACTCCTGTGCTGGGGCTACAGAGAGGAATTGGTTATAGAGTCTTGGATGGGGAGCCGAATAGAGGTGAGAAAATGGGATCAGAGAGACAAGACAGTCTAATCACCCTCTACTGCCCAGGCCCTCATTTAATCCTCACATAAGTGACAAGATCTGTCCCACCAAGTCCGGGGGAAGAGCATTCAGCTCAACCCCCAATGCCAGATCTGCAGGTGGCCTGGCCTCTCCTCTTGGGCCTCCCCCAATACAAAGAATTACTCAGGCTTGTACAATCCAAAAGGGGGCATCAGTTCAACACCTACGTTAGGAGTGTTCTGGGTCCAACCGGTCCCCTCCGGCTGCTGCTGCACGTGCCTGGAGCTGCTTGTGGGAGCAGAAAGTGCTGGTACACTTGCAGTGTGGCGGCCAGCCATGCCCTGCCCCTGCAGGCTCTTGAGGGTCAGTGCTGCCCTCTGGTGGACTCTCCCGACAGTGTCAGCACCGCTTCCCGCCTCCTCCCTCCCTGCCCCCATTTGAGCACCGTCCTCTGCAAGCTGGAACCACTCACTGTCCCCTTCCCTTCCCCAGGTTGCCAGCCCCTAAGAGATGGGGCAGCTTTCCCTTTTCAACCTTCAAAGCACAAGGGCTGACCACACCCCCTCAGCAGGCCATAGTGCCCCCACCCATCCTCTTAAGGAGGGCTCTACTGTTCATGCCCACCAACCCCTACCCTCACCCCCTACTTGGGGGCAATTTTTTTTCTCTTCTCCTGACAGAGCAGGGACAGGTAAAAAATAAAAACCAAAAAAGGGTAAGTTAAATTATCAGCAGGGCCTCCTGCTATACTTAAGTCATCTCTCAGAGTGAGCAGACCAGACTTTTTCTGTAAAAGGCCAGAGGGGAAATAGTTTAGGCTTTGCAGGCCAGAGTGTCTGTCTCAACTGCTGCACTCTGCCTCTGTAGTACAAAAGCGGATGCGGACAATAGGTAAACAGACGGGCTATGTTCCCATAAAGCCCCATCTATGGATGTTGAAATGTGTATATCATAGAGTTTTCATGTGTCACAAAGTATTTTCTTTTCTTTTTTTTTTTATGTTTTTCAACCATTTAAAAATATAAAAACTATCCTTAGGCGGCGGGGCCAGATTTGGCCGGCTAACTGCAGTTTGCTGACCTCTGGATTGCAGCATTAGAGCTTGGTGGGGTGTAGCCCTGGAGTAAGGCTGTAGGTCCTATTCCAGGGCTTCCAGGAGGGGGCACCCAGGCTGATACCACCACCCCACCCTTACAATCCTAGGAGAAAAGGCACAGCTGCTGCTGTATGAGGTGTGGCTGCAGATCCTGGGGCGACCCTTCACCAAGGCTTTGAAGGACAAAACCAGCACTGAGTTCCAGGAGCTTTGGGGCCAGCTGACAAGAGGGGTGAAGTGGTGGGATGGAGGGGAGAGGAGCAGAGGCTCAGGCCTCAGGGAGGGGGCCGGGACAAGCTTTGGGAACACTGTGACCACCTTTATCTTTTCCTGACCCCCAGCTGACCACCATCCTCAGGCATCTGCAGAACTGGGGCCAAGTAGTGGTGGAGGACTTTCAGTGAGTCCACGGTGGCTCTGGGTGACCCGGGCACAGGGCTGGACTCAGGGTGGGGGCAGGGAAGTGGTCGCCGGGACAGGAGGCTGGAGGAGGTGACCTCAGCAAGTACCCCCAGGGTGCCCAGCCCCTGAGGCCCATGGTGATCCTCCTGCCAGCGCTGACCGCCAGAGTGAGTGCCACCTTCTTCAGGGCCGCACCGGCGGAAGCCCTTGTGCAGGACTGCGTGCCAGGGTCTGCACACCCTGTGGGCGGCTGAGGGCCTCTCAGTAGAGATGGTCATTGCAGACCTCGGTCAGTGCCTCTCCACCCGCTTCCCTCTGTCTGTGTCCTTCCCTCAGACTTGCTGCCTTGCTGCCCCAGACTCGTTTTGCTTCTGAACCTACCTTCCCCCCCACCCTTTCTTCTGGACCTTTGCGCCAGCTGACTGCCCTTCAGGGCCCAGCTCTGGCCCTGACTCCTCCTGGAAGCCCCTCAAGGTTCAGCTCCTCTCTGTTCTTGCAGCATCTTCTGGGCCTGCACCCGGAGCCTGGGAGTTCTCTGCAGGCCTGGCTTTGCCTTCTCTGAGGTCTGTAATCTGTGGATTATGGTCTGGGAGGATAGGGACCCACCTCAGCCATGGTCTTCCTGCTCTCTGTCCCAGGCACCCCCAGCTCTGGAGCCTCAGGTCAGCCTAGCACCTCCATCCCCAGCTATGCTGTGGTTGTCATCATGCTGAGCCTCCTGCTCATCACACTTGCCCTCATCCTGATGAGTGTCTGGCTGGGGCGGGGTGGAAGGCAGGCTGGGCCCCTGACTGTCTGAGTCAAGCTGAGGGGTCAACTGATCCCTTTACCACTTCCTCCATCTTGAGCCCAGGGTATCTACCCTCCTACTGGCGCTGAGGGGTTTCCAGTCAGCGGGCTTGGTCTGACTCCAGTGGCCCACCCCTCTTGCCCCAGGTGCTGAAGTGGCGGGCCTGCTGCAGGGTGTTCAGCCTGGAGGACTGGAAGCCCCACCCCCAGAGTAGCAGTGAAGCACAGGGACCCTCTCCAGACTGGTAGGTGCAGGTCCTCCTCCCTGACTCCCTGGGGCACGGACTTGGCATGTGGAGTGGGCCCCCCGGAGCCCAAGCCCTCTTGCAATTATTTCCCAGTGGGAGCTGATGGCAGAGCCTGGGTGGGGCAGTCAATATGGTGAAGAAGTTCACTTCCTCTGCCACGAGGTGTGACCCAGGGGTGGGTAAGCAGAATCCTCCCAACAGGCCCCCAAGGCCCCCAGCCATTCCCGGCTGCCCTCCCTGTACCCCTAGAAATGGGGCTAGGGGGAAGACAGCTGAAGGTAGGAACCCACGTGGCTGGAGGAGTGGGACAGAGAACTGGGGACATGGGAAAGGGGTCTTGCTTCCTCCACCACACAAGGACCCAGTAGCGGCACTTCCAGGCCCTGGAAGAGGTGTGGGACACATCTGGACCCAAATCAAGTTTCTCTTTTGTCTCTTGGACTTCCTGCCTCTTTGACCCCTGTGCCACGTAGAGGTAGGGGTGGCAGGCAGAGCACTTTGGGGTACAGTTATTCTTGACTCGGCTTTTGCTCCCTTTTCTCTAACCCCAGGTGACCCCCTCATGCTGCTTACTCTCGCCACTGGAACCCAGACTCCAAACCTCTCCTCCTCCTCCCCACTTCCCCCCAGGCCTCAGACGGCACCTCAACTCTGAGAAGTGAATCCAGAGCCCCAGCACCTCTGACTTTCCCAGGAGCCCAGAACCAGAGATGGCAAAGCACTAGCCCCGGGTCACACAGCAAGGGGGAACTTCTTCCCTCCCAGGACACTCAAGGACCGGACTCTCAGGGCGCAACAGAGATGGGGTGGGGGAAAGAAACACCTTGTTAACCACACTGGGAAGACAGGCTGAGCTTTAACTGCAAGCCCCCAGCGGAGTATAAAGTCTGGGAAAACCCTTGTTACCATTTCCACGCTCACTGGAGGCCAGGCCCTGTTCTAAGTGCTTCCCAGGCTCGTACAAGCTCCCATCACCCCAAGAGACAAGTATATAACAGATGAGGAAATAGGCCAAGAGCCCGCTGGCACGTACAGCTAGAAAGTGACATAAGGAGGATTTAGTCCCAGGTGAGGGTCCCCAGTCTCTGCTTCCCCTCTACCCCGGGTACTGCCTTCTCACCTTACAGTGACAGGGGCCATCCTCGAGGAGATGGGAGGAATGAGACCCAGGGGCTCAGGTGGGCCGCAGAAGGGAACAGTCAGGGGAGAAAGGGGCAAGGGTCCATCCTGTACCTACATGTGCACAGAGATGTAAGGGTTCTCAGGTCAGGCCCTAGGGATTGCCCAGCACCATGGGGAGGGCACCCGGGATCCTGCTATAATGCTTTGCAGGGGACCTTCATCCCCACAGAGGGGTTTCCTCTCCCTGCCTGGCCATGGGCTCAACCACAGAGGAGGCAGGAAGGGGAACGAGGATTTCTCCCTCAGAGGGCTGTGGTAGAGACACCCGATGCTGGTCTGGTGCAGTAAGGCTGGAGTGTTTAGTCTCAAGGAAGAGAAATGCTCGTCCTTTAGGGGTATGGAGAAGTTAAGGGTATGGAGAAGTTGAGAAGTTAAGGGTATGGAGTATTTAAATTAAGGGTATGGAGTAGTTAAGGGTATGGAGAAGTTAGTTAAGGGTATGGAGAAGTTAGTTAAGGGTATGGAGAAGTTAGTTAAGGGTATGGAGAAGTTAGTTAAGGGTATGGAGGAGTTAAGGGTATGGAGGAGTTAAGGGTATGGAAAAGTTAAGTGACAAGAAGCAATAATAAATTTGTATAAAAAATTGCTTTTATTTCTAGAAAGTCATTCAGGGAGAGGAAGAGGAGATAGAGACCCAGAGTAGAGCTGATGGGAGGAGGAGGTGGGACCAGAGGCTGATCAGGGATCAGGGGTAGGGATGGGAACTGCTTGGGGGAAGGCCCGGCTCCAGCCTAGCTCCGTCTCAGACCAGCCTGTTAGGGGATGTTGGTCAGGCCAGGCCTGGCTACTACTTGGGGACCCAGAACCCTTGGGGGTGTGGGATCTACCAGGGAAGGTGTGGGGCCACTGGGGCAAGCCAGACTCTAGGACCTGCCTGCCCTGGCTGGGGAGGTCTGGGACTGAGGACGACAACAGCTGCCTGTCATTGGCCTAGGAGTGGGAAGGGTGAGGCAGGCTGGTGGATTTCCTGGAGGACCCCGGGGCAGGCAAAGGCCTTGACCCAGAACGCTACAGCATCTTCTGGGAGGTTCGGTGATGGCCAAACCAGGAGATAGTCTTTGAAGTCATGACCTGAAGGGAAGGGAAAAATCAAGGATAGTATTTCCCTGAAGGCTCTGCCACCTGCTGGAGGGCTTCAGGCCCAGTGAGGCCAGCAAGGGACCATGAGCTTACCAGACCAAAGGTGGTGGCCAGCACCAAGATGCCAAAGAGGGTGAGCAGGAAGGCCACCAGGTAGGAGCTGACTGTGGCTGGTGGTGGGGTCATCTGTACTTCTGGAATATACAGCCTCTCGGTTATACCCCTGAAGGACCCACAGCTGCACCCCAGCACCCCAAAGGCCAGCCTGATACAGTCACATAGCCTGTGTCAGCCCCCGCCCTCAAAGTACCCAAGCCTTCTGACTGAAGGGCCAGGGCAGGCCAAGGTATAAGAGGGGTCCCCGAAGACTCCCCTCAAACTGTCATGATGCCCAAAATGTCCCCATTAGTGCTTCTCATCTTAGGAAGGGAGGGTTTTTCCAGCCTTGCTCTCTCTCCATTGAGTACCTCCAACGAGTCCTTCCATTACCCCAGGAGCCCTTGTAAGTGTGAGGGGAGAGAATTAGGTGGGATGCACATGGACTAGGCCCTAGGACTGAGGCTGCTGGGTGATCTCAGTGAGGCTTTGGTTTCTTGGTCCTCCACCCCCTGCAAAGCAGGCTATTGCGAGCCTCGCGTGAGGCCTTGCATGAAGATATAGCACAAACACATCCAGTAAATATTGTGGTTTTTAGGGAGGTGGGACATACCCCCAGGGGGGAGAGAGGGCACAAGGGTAGGGAACCCACAGGCATAGCACGGCCTCTCTGGAGGTGGCACAATGGTACCTGCCACATGTAAGGAGAGAGGGTCCACCTGGAAAGGAGAGCCAGCCAGACGGCCATCAGGCTGGACGGCCACCACCAGGGTCTGCAGGATGGTGGAGGGGGCTGGGCACACCAGCTCCCCAGTACAGATAAGCGAGCCTTTCCTGAGTGAGTCTTCCCTGTGGGCAGGACGGGGAGTTCAGGTCATGGAACCATGACCCATCTTGAACCTGCCCACCCCACAGCAGTGTACGGACTTGCTTGATTGTCACAGCAACCCTGGAGGCAAGCAGCCTCATTCTTCTGATGAATAAACAGAGGCCTGGAGAGATGAATATCCTACAGCTGAAACCTGGGATTCAGACCCGGGTCTGGCTGTAATGCTGCCTTTATGGCTCTGCCTGCCACCTCCTCCATCTCATGCTAACAACTGAGCTTCATTAAACCAAAAAACCAAACCAGCTGCCATCAAGTTGGTTCTAATTCATGGCAACCCCGTGTGTGTCAGAGTAGAACTGTGCTCCATGGGGTTTTCAATGGCTGTGATCTTTTGGAAGTAGATTGCCGGCTTTCCTCCCGCAGTGCCTCTGGGTAGATTTAAATTGCCAATTTTTCAGTTAGTAACTGAGCACTTAACAATCTGCACTACCCAGGGACTTCAAGCACTCATTAAGTACATGCGAAATAGATGCTATTATCCCCATTTTACAGCGGGGAAAGTCAGGCACAGAAGTTAAATGACTTGCCCAAGGTCACAAAGTGGCAGGGTTGGGGCTCAAACCCCAGCTGTCAGATTCCCGAGTGTATGTTCTCAGCCACCACTTCCCCATGGCGGGGGCTTTACTAGAATATACAAGGAGTGAATGGACCTTGTGGGAGGGACTCTGCTTCTTCCTTGTCTGTACCCAGGGCACGGGGGCATACAGCCCTGTGTTTTGGAAGCGGCAGTGGTCAACCCAGCCCGAGCCAGGGCCACACTGGGCCAGTGGTTCTCCAGGGCCAGAAGTCTCCCCCAAAGACACTCACTGGAAGCCTCGAACCAGCACCTGCAGAAGGTCTGGGAAGGGGCTCAGTACTTGCTGCACCTGCGGGTGGGGGAGGCCACACAGATGGATGTGCTAGAGGGAGGGGACCCCTAGGCAGGAAGCAGATCCCTTGTCTGACCTTCCTCCCCACACCCCCGTGCCTCCCTGGGTACCAGAAGGAGAGAAGGGGCGGCCCCACACCAAGCCATTGCCCAGGTGGAGTAGAAAGACTGATGGGAGCCATTTAGGTAGGTTCTGGCTGGCGAGTATGATCCCTGAGTCCCCCCAGCTAAACTCCAGGCCTACCAAAGCAGCTGTGTCTCTGGCAAGGTCCTGGTAGACAGGGGACGAGATGTCCTCAAGTGGCTCTATAAACCTCTTGTTGAGGATACTCAAGGAGATGGGCAAGATAGCTTCAGGTGAGAGCCTGGCAGGCAGGAAGGGAGCCAGAAACAGGCAAAGGTCAGCTGGGCCCAGGCCAGGCCCCAGGAGGGAGGGAGATGGAAGGGGCACACTTGTCCCTCACCAGCCACAGAGAGGGAGCTCAGGTCCACGGACTGGCTGGCCAGACCCGTCAGCACCTGCAGCACCTGGGGAATGTCTGCCCAGGCCTGGCTCTGTATTGGGCTTCTGCCTGGGACCACTGGTGACTGGACGCTGGCCTGAAGAAGGGATGGTGGGAGAGGAGGCACCTGTGGCCACATGGGGCACCTGAGCACAGCAGGGGCAGGGGAGGATTATGCCCAAGAAAAGACCACAGGAGCCAAGAACTTAAGCAGATATAACACCATTGGCTTCCCCCTTGCCCTGGGGCAGGTCCCTGGACACATAAGTCAGACCCTATCCTTGCCCTGGGGCAGAAGCCCACAGCCTGATTGAGGTGTGGTAAACAGATGACAGTGCTGGGGGAAGGGGCCTAGCCAGCCTAGGACATCCAGCTAGGCTGTGTCTTGGGGAAGACTCTGCCAAGAAGCTTATACAGGACAGAAAGACCCACAAGCCCAGGAACCAGGAGTTGCAGGCTGGGTGGCCCATCCAGGGGCTGGAAGAAGCAGGCTGGGCAGCAGCCCAGGGCTCCAGGGAGAAATAGAGATAGTCAAAGCCTGCCTCTGTATGGGCAGCCATAGGGATGGCAAGAGAGAGGCAGGAAGGAAGGACAGGGAGCAGGGGGAATGGGCAGGGAAGATGGGGAGTTGGGGGAACGGGCAGGGAGGAGAATGGGCAGGGAGGACGGGCAGCAGGGGGAATGGGCAGGGAGGATGAGGAGGCGGGGGAACAGGCAGGGAGGGAGGACAGGAAGCGGGGGGAACGGATGGGCAGGGAGGACGGAGAGCAGGGGGAATGGTTGGGGAGTAGGCGGAATGGGTGGGGAGGACAGGGAATGCTAAGGCAAGGCAGGGTTGGGAGACCCCCAGGCCCCTATTCTCCCCCTCTCCAAACTGATTCCCCATCCCTTACCAGATGTGAATGAAGTTGAAGTCTTCCACAGGATACAGCTTGCC